CGGTAGCAACAAAAACTGCGGGGAACTATGCAAAAAAAGCATCTTCGCACGGGCAGCCCGTGCGTTGGCCAATTATTCAGGAATTTATCAAGGCTAAAAGACTCAACTAAAGCTCACTAAAGAAAAGAAAATTATCCTACAGCCACAAAAACTACTGCGAGGCTTGGACAAAAGCACAGATATTTGTATGGATTGCACTCTTTTTTTATGAATCAGCGGTTTTTTTTACTGGACAATCAGAAGTCTTTATTAAACACCTCATTTCAGTACATAGAAAAGTACAGTTTGTAAACTGTGTAAGCCTCTGGTGATGCAACGTGGCGAATCCAAACGGGAGGTTGAACTTGAAAATTTTAAGTTGTACATGTGCTGGAAACATCCCCTTAAAACTTCAGCCTCCCAGCTTTACTGGTTCCCAGGCTAGCGATTTTCAAGCCGAAAAATTTGACGGGGTCATACGTGGGAATCACGCATACTTGGGAGCTGAATTAAAATTGTTTGAAAGATAACAGCTACGCCCTAGCCAGGAAGTAGCCATAAGCCATGATATCTAGCCAGAGAATGCACGTCGAAAAGCTGCCGGTTGGCGCAAAAAGCGCCGAACCACAAAAACCATCCCCCACTTCTTCACTACCCCTAACCTGAAGACAATAACATCTTTTAGGAAAAGTGGTCATCTCTTCCCAGTCATTTCAACAGAATACTGAACCTTTAAAAAAACAACAGAAAGATAACAATTACTTCTTAAACACATGAAAATTCGAAGCATTTAGCAAGAAGACGCGGAAAGCAATTACAAAGAATAATAACTGGGATGCGCAGACATATGCCACAGCGAATTTCCTAGCGGCGCACGATAGAACAATCAGCAAAAAGTACGACCAGCAAAAATTGACAGAGGTCATTCACAGCGGCGGTTAATCTAGGCAAACAAACAGTAATTTACGGAAGGGAGGCACAAACAAATACTGAAATATTAAGATCAGAAATAACAGAAACAAATATCATATATTCCAATAAACGTACTGGAGGGCAATATCCATCCGTATATATGGCATCTACAACTCTTTTGGAAAGTATGGGGAGCTGTTCTTATGGGTGTGAGATGGATTCTCGGTGACATCCTCTGAACATCCCCTTAAAATTTCAGCCTCCCAGCTTTTCTGGTTCCTGAGTTACCATTTTCCCGTCAAAAACTTTCAGGTTGAGCTGCATACCTCCAATCAATTCAGTTCAAACTTTCAACGCAAGGCCATGTTTTCGAAGCAAAGAAATAATACACTTCAGGAATCGCATAATCATGGAGGTATGTATGACACAGAGGAACAGACACAAGTTACAGTTTTATGAAAATACAAAAAGATCACAAAAAATGAGGCTTAACAACGGGTTTTCTCTTATGCCTGACAAAAAAAAAGAACACATACACACAGTCAAATGCATAATTTCAACAAATACCTGAACTAATTTATCATTCAAAAGAAAGTTTGTTTAAAAAATAAACAGCTACGTTCACAGGCTATCACTGTCACGGAGCATAGTAACACAACAAAACTTCCTGCAAAGAGCGGTTATTCTAAAGCAAATTAGTCCAAGCTGTGGTCTTACTGAAGCAGAAGCGTCCGAACCAATTAACAGCTTCATAGCGCACAAATCCCGCTTCATCGATTTTTTTGGCCCAAAACAACTCTCCCGGGATTTCCGCGGATATTTTGTAAAATTAATGCCTTTCCCTTTCAAAAAATTCGAAAAGAGAAAATTTTCAAAACTTTTTCAAAAAATTCGAAATTTTCAAAGTTTTAAAAAATTCGAAATTTTTGAAGAAAAAGTTTTCAAAGGAAAAAAAGGTTTTCAAAAGAAATTTTCAAAAAATTCGAAAAGAAAAACAAAAAATCGAAGAAAAAATTTTTTCGAAACCAAAAAGTTAGCATTTTCCTTTCCCACAGATTTCTCTGCAAAAAACATTTTTCTTAATCAGTACAACAACTCCTTTTGTTCACTGGATTAACAGCCATACCGGGGAAATTAAAATCAACAAAAAAAACGACAAATTATCGATTCAAATCGGCTATTTGGGCAACTTTTCGTGGTTCACGCATACCCGTAACGACTGACTTCACTTCGTTCTGTGAGCATGGCGTTAATTTTTCGCCCAAATCACCGATACCACTCACAACGCCCAATTCGTCTTCGGATGTACTCAGCAGATACGAACTGAGATTTTCGCCAAAACCAATGACACGTGCCAGGATAACATCACCGGGATGAACACACTGGTGCAATTTGATCTGCAAACAAAAAATATTACGAATACTGAACTTTTTTAACTCATAACTTGAGGTAATACACCAAGGAGTTTGGTACTGAAAAAGAAGTATACTTACCTTTATTTTGCCTCAGTTATGAGGGCTGTGAATCAGCTTTTTGTAAAGTAGGAAGGGTAGTACGGACCGTAAAGGCCCTATGAGGATCATATCAACAAAAAACTATAAAACAGCCCGCCCGGAGGAAATTTAACAAATTTTTGATCTTTTGAAAAGCAATCATAATGTTTCTTACTTTTTCTTTTTCAACAGGCATTATATCCTCCTTCCTCAGGATTCCACTGAACTCGTTTGAGAGAGTAGAATTTTCCACACAGTGTATTGAACATTTCGCAAACCGTTGACCAATATTTTGTACCTTAAAAATTGTTCATTCAAAAGCAATCACAATCTTGGACTTCAGAAATTTGCCTCAATCTGCGAAATTTATTGTCGAATAACATTCCTAATCGGTAAGTTAGACGGCAAGACGTTTGATCTTGAAGAAAGAAAAAAGTATACTGTCTGTGTTTACAGCGTAGGGATGAAAAATAGACAGGAAGCCCTACGTACTCCAGGTGATAGATGGCCATTTAACATATCAAAAGGTTAGTATCAGCTATCTTCCCCACCACTATCCACTGTCAAATTTTATCCTCACAGCCTTAAAACACATGGAATTCAGTCGTGCTGAACTTTCTTCGGTTACCACGGTCCAATACTTCAA